GCCGCCCCCGCTCCAGGCTGTGCTGGTCGCCGACAGCTTCAACCGCCGCTTCTTCCCCATCTCTAAGGACCGGCCGCGGGTGAGAGGGGCCGGCCGGGACACCCCTCCCCCCCCAGCCCGGCCTCACCACCGGGCCCCGGCACCTGGGGTCCTCCCCGGCGCTGCCCTCCTCGTGGGCCGGGGTGCACGGTGACCCCATCCACCACAGGGAGAGGCTTGTCCTAGCTGGGGGGCAGGGGGGTGTTTCTAGTGGGGATCCTCTGGGGGGATGCTCGTCTGCGCCCAGGGGCTCGTGTTTGCGGCCGTGCGTGCGACGGGAGGAGACGCCGGCTTGGCTGCGCGCAGATGTCAAGCTCCCCGTGCTCGCTGTCACGCCAGCAGATCACCAGCCCCACCTCCCGAGGAGCGCCCGAACCGGCTTGGCGAGGACGGACTGGACGTCGGCACAAGGAAAGCAAAGAGCGGGTTGCCCTGGGAGCTCCTTAAGTTGTAGCTCGTGCAGCATCTGAACGGAGAGAGACGTCGGGCTCGTCGACGAACCCAGGCTCGGGGCTTGTTCTGGGAGAAGCCCTGCCGGGAGTGGGCTGCTGCCAGCTCCCGCCCGGTCCTGCTGGGCCGATAGCCGGCGGCCTGGAGGAGCAGTTTTGCAGGGGGAAGCTGCCGTGATGTTTTCCACCAGGAAAACTTTTTTTTTGAGAGCCTATTGGTTGTATGGGAGAAGCCTCGGCATTTCAAACCTCAGGCGACCAAAAAGGAGTTTGACTGCAGAGGGTTTCTTTCACAGATTTCATAGACATTAGGGCTGGAAGGGACCTCGCAAGATCATCAGGTCCAGCCTCCGGATCATTTCATTATGTGCTGAGCCCAGCAGGTATAATGGTCCACGGTAGAGAGTCCCCTGACTTGCTCCTGCAGCCATATGCAAAGCAAAACTCGGGGGCATCCAAACCCTAAGCCTCCAGGCTCAGGCCTCTGTATAGGACGTCCGCCAAATGATTTGGAAGCGTCTGAAGCCCCAGGCAGGGATGGAGGATGTTTGCTGGTAGCCGGGCCCGCACGTGGCTCTTGAATGACTCACGGATTTGGAATGGGTTTGGCTGATTTGGCTTGGAACATGAAAAATGTCCCTAAAAAACTATCGTGGATATTAATAGTTTTTTTAGTCTAGCAGAGAAAGGCATAGCCAGTGCCAGGGGCTGGAAGCTGAAGCCAGACAGAATTAAATGATAAATAAAATGCATATTCTGTTAGTACAAGGGATTGAGCATTGGAACAAATGGCCAAGTGGTGGATTCTCCGTTCCTTGAAATTTTCCAGCTGACTGGATACCCTTCTGGAGATGTGCGTTAGTCTTTTACCTGAACAGTCAGGGATGTAAATCCTGGCATCTCTAAGCCTAAGGGTGCTGGATGACAGGGAAGGTATGGCAGGGGTCACTGTAGATCAGGGGCGTCAAAGATGCAGCCCATGTGCTGGATCTGGCCCAGAGAGCCATGTTGTCCAGCCCCTGCTGCTGTCTATGAGTCTCAGAGTGATCTACAGGGAACATGCAGGGCTCACTTGGTAGCCTCATCTGCTGCATGCAGTGCCCACTACAGCTCTCTTCCCAGAGTGGCCACCACGTGCAGCACAGCCTTGAAGCAGCTGTGTGCTGCTCGAGGGAAGGTGCATGTGGTGGGGACTTCAGAGCTGTGCAGCACGGCCGGCAAGTGGCAGGAGCAGGACTGCACTGCACACGACGCCCGTCCCAGATCCAGAATGTGCGACTGGTCTGTGCGTCGGATCAGGAACGTATATCCCGTGTCTAGCCATGCATATCTCCACACTTTAGGCAAGATGTTAAGGCAGACGTTGCAGCGAGAGACCGAGCTCAAGTGATGTAGCCGTGATGGTCCAGGAAACACGCGAGACATGAGTATTTTTGTGGGTGATGGTTTATTGGACCAGTTGCATGGTTGGGATAAACTAGTAGTTCTTAACCTTTTCAGGCTCAAAGACACCTTTGTATTAACGAAGCTGTGTTGGGACCCCCCACTGCTTAATTAGTAAAGAGGGGAAGGGTAGGATTGAAATCCATTAGCAGAGCCAGGACTAGCATAGTCGGAGATGCTGCAGGTCCACCGGCTGGGGCACGTCTTGAGAAGGCGTTTCAATTGGCTGAAGATCAGGAGAAAGTCCCCAAGTCTGATCTACCACCATGGTCACACAGGTGGCAGCAGCTCTTTGTGTATTGAAAGGTGAATTATCCCAACAAGCAGCATCTGTAATGGAATACCTCCATGAGAAACTAACTAAGGCACGAATACAGATGACACAGGGGTACTCAGTTTGCAAACTCCCCATCCCAAGCATCTGCTACTGCCACTGTCGGGGACAGGATACTGGGCTAGATGGACTGTTGGTCTGACCCAGTACAGCACTACTTATATTCTTATGACAGGTACAAGTTGTCGGGTTCAATGTGGCAGTAACCGAATGACATTTAAAGGCCTGTGATATATAGAAGATCAGAATGGGTGATATAAAAGTTCCTTCTGGCCTTAATCAAGATCTGTAAGCTTTTGTTAAAGCTTTATTGACAGTACATGAAAAAACGAAGTACCCCAAAACAGAAAGGAGTTGCACAGGAGAGAACGTAAAGGAGATGACACAGATGCATGGGAACTCGATTAGAAGCTCAGTTTATGTTAAATGGAGGAGATTTTTAAAAGTTACTCTAACAGTGAACTAGTGGACAGTGTGATGCTGCCTTGCTTCTTTTCTAAGACCAGGAGGGTGGGGTGGAGGTTGATGTGTGTCAGCTTCTGAATTGCTGCAGAGGAAGTGGCTGTAGAATAGAAAACTAAATGTGGAAATAATGTTGTCCGCAAACTAGTCCATACAATGGTAGAGTAGTCCTTTGAGATCTTATTAGTTCTCAGATGCAAGCTGTAGCATATTAAAAAAGCATAATGCCCCCCAAACAGGAAAATAGCCTGAGAGAGAAAACTATAAAGCAGACAAGGAGGCGTACGTTCTCTTTGTGCTGGGTATTGTACCAGTGTGGTAAGACGCTCCCTGCTCCAAAGAGCTAGCTTCTAGTCTGATGAGACATGACAAGTGGGCTCAGAGCACAATGATGAAAGGAATCTAGACGGAGTGACAGTAACAGGAATGCAGTGTTGTGTGCATTAGCCAAGTGCACCCGTTGGAGGGAACATTTATGAATGTCACGATGGGCTGTTTGTTGCCTTATCTTACGCGGTCTTGTGTTTCCAGTCTTGGCTGTGCATAAAAGATAAGTGCTGCATTTCACGGCACTATGAAAAGAGATTATCAAGCTGGTTGCTTTGCTGTCTTGAGTATTGGAGGAACATGGAATACAAAGGGGAGGAGCATGTCAAAAGGTTTTGACTGTATGTCAGTTTCTATGCATCAGTTTTCTCTGTGGGAAGACTCAGAGTCATTTTACAATGAGGAAAAACGAACCACAAATCCAAACCATGTCAGTGGCAGTGCTGGGGACTGGAGGGAGAGCATCAATAGCACTCTTTGCTTTCCATCTTCTGGTGGTGATGTAGGACAAGCACATTTTTGATTGAGCAGGAAGAAGCAAAGTTGCTCCCACAAGTGGCAGTAATGTTTCCCATGAAATCACCAGCAAATCAAAGAATATTTTGCCTTAATTTTAAGGGTATGGTGCTGAAGTAGAGTGTTGTAATCAGATGTAGGGTTGAGCTGTTGTCTTGTCTCATCGGCTATTTAAATATTCTTGCAGTCCTGATTACAGGATCTGTACTTGCTTGTTGGCTGAGTTGTGAAAGAGGAAAAAATTGTACATTTTTCATAGTCAAGGAACAATCATGTTTTAGTTCCAAATCATGGATTCAAAACCAATTATAAGTGATCTTTCAGCTGTAGATGATGTTTGAAGGAACAACATGAATCCTCAACTGCTGGATGGTCTTCATTTCACTTATATAAGTTTTCTAGGTTTTTTTTCTTTTTCTGTTCTGAGGTCTGGCATTCCTTTGATTTCATCATTCATATATGACAATATTTTTCTAATGATCAGAGCTGGAGAAATGGAATCAGCACTCGCAGTCCTTTTTTGCAGCTTTGTCACTGAGTACTAGTGAGCTTTTCTGAGGGGGCTGTGTGTGGCATGTTGATCTTTTCGGGTCCCTAAAACAGGGAGGATTCTCATTCCCCTCAGAGTTGTTGTGGGAATCAGCTCATGTTACCTTGGAAATGGTGAGGGGGCAGTCATAGATTTTATTATTCTGACACAGCTGAAAGTCATGTGTCCTACAGCTGGCAGAGTCTGCTGCTGACTTTGGAGCATGTGTTCAGCTCATTCTCTTGCTTCCCTAGGCTCTCCTTCCTCTGGCAAATGTGGCCATGATTGACTACACCCTGGAGTTCCTTACTGCAACCGGAGTGGAAGAAACCTTTGTTTTTTGCTGCTGGAAGTCCGCTGAGATAAAGGAGCATTTACAGTAAGGAACGCTTTCTAGCAAACTTGCTGTGTCTTCCCTTTATCTAACCGCTGTCTAAGCTTTTAGATCATGGTAACCCTACTGGCTGATGAAAGCTGCATGCTGTTCAGTTCCCAGGAGGTGGGGTGTTCAGTGGATTCTCTTGCCTGTGTGAAGGGAGAAACATCCCTCCCATAGGAGACAAGGTGTGGCAGCACTGTCAGAAGGTTGTGTCTGTCTGGTCTGGGGCTTATGTATATGATGGTACTTGATTGTCTTGCTGCTTGTATTTACAGGCAGAGCTTTCCCGGTTAGACATTTATTGACATGGATATCCTTGAAACTACAATGCTTTGCCTTGTTACACTCTTGCCTGACCCTTCCCACCACTGCACTTGGCACACAGGGGACAGCTCTCCATTTAAAAGTGTCTTGCCTCCACAGCCCATAGCCCCATGTGCTAAAGAGCAGCAGGCAGCTGCATTTCCTCCCTGCTCTCCCTGCGTGATTTTATATAATTGCTTTTTAACTTCCTCTCTCAAAATTCTCCTCATAGGTGAGTCCTGTTTCCAAAGCAATGGTCTTGAGGCTTTAGCATCTTTGTCTGTCCTACAAAAATAATCTTGCCTAAGTCTGCTTGTTACCCTCCTATTGTAATGTGATACTTATTATACTTGTAGGCAGAACTCTGTCATTCTCCCCCCGCACTGGGGTACCGTGTTATAGCCTAGACTTCTGTGAGTGTAACCCTTTCATTCATTCTTTCCAACCAGAAAGTCCAAGTGGTGCTGCCACACCTCTCCAAATACCGTGCGCTTTGTAACCTCTGACCTGTACCGCTCGCTTGGTGATGTGCTAAGAGACGTTGATGCCAAGTCCCTTGTCCGCTCGGACTTCCTCCTCGTCTCTGGGGATGTGGTGTCCAACATCAACATTTCTAGCGCCCTGGAAGAGCACAGTTAGGCGGGTAGGGAGAAGGAGCACCAGCCTGGCTTGCTGATGAAGCTTTCTGATGTCTCCTCAGGAAGAGCAAAGAGCATCGCTTACAATGCTCCCTTTTCTGCTCAGGGTGCGCCGTAAACTGGAGAAGAACGTGTCTGTGATGACAATGGTTTTCAAAGAGTCTTCGCCAGGTCATCGTGCCAGGTGCCAGGAGGATGACATCATTCTTGCCATGGACAGTGCAACAAACCGTGTCCTGCACTACCAGAAGACCCAGGGACTGAAACGCTTTCCCTTTCCCATGGTGTGTTCAGTGAGGGCGGCAGGTGAAAGATTGTTTGTGCCCCTAAGCAGCACTTTGCTAACACCTGGGGCTGGGGGAGCTGTCCTTAATGCTTCCATTTGCAGAACAGAGCGGGGTAAGTGGCATAGGAGAACTTACACCTCCTGATGTTTCAGTTTATCCCCGCTCTGTAGTCACATTGGGAATGAGAGGGCAAGATAGTTGTGGTGGGACCATGGGTAAGCCGGATTGGGTTGATTTCTTATTTAAATACGGTTACTATAAATCAGTTCATTTCCATTGGGATTCTTTGTGTGCAGCAAGGATGACTTGTATGAGCCTTGCTATGGCACATAGTCAATGAAATGTCTCTTAAAGCCCCTTCTCTGTCACGTGGCTAGACAGCACCTTTCCCAGACCACTGTTCTCATCTGGATCACGCTTTCCCTTTTTAGATGAGTAAAAAGAGGTGCACAATCTTAAAGAGAAATCCAGGGGTGGTCTTTAAGTTTTATAGATGCTTCATTTTCATGTAGCTCCCAGTCCCCAGTGTAAAGAGGCTGCTGATAATGTCATCCCTATTAGTGCTTTAGTTCATTTCTCATGGAGGTTTTCCTTGTGAGGGACACTGCTGGATTGATTTATCCCTTGTTGCAATAATTCATCTTTCAGTTCACAAAGTACTGTTGCTGCCTGTGTGACCAGGGCAGTAGTTTAGATCTGGGGACATTCTCCTGATTTGCAGCATGTTGAAATGCTTTCTCAAGATGATGCCCCCACTGGTGCAGGGTTTTGTTTTCTGGCTCGGATACTTCCTGCAATGCTCAGCCCTTTGGTGTTCTCTTCTCTCTCCAGAACCTGTTTCAGAGCAATATTGAGAATGTGGAAGTGCGCCATGACTTGCTGGACTGTCACATCAGCATCTGTTCCCCACAGGTAAGCTCCTGCAGCTCTGTAGGGCAGGGGAACATCCTTTCCCAGTAGCTAGTTTGCTGGCGGTGGTCTGGTGGGAACACACTGCTAAGTAGAAAATGCATCCTGAAATCCCAGTTGTACTTGCTGCATCATCTGGAAAGCAGGTCATGGACACAAGAAACAGGACAGGTTCTTGGACTGTACCTGTACTGTTAGCTTCTAGCATCTGTTGCTGTGGATACAGTTAGAACAGAAGTGGCTTGGGATGTGTATACTTGGATGAGCTTGACCAGGATAAAATAGAGAGACGTAACTAAATTTGTCTGAGTATTGTGTAGGCAACAGCAACAGAGATGGCATCTCTGACACCTGGGGATAGAGAGCCTCCCTCAAAGGTCGCTTCTTGCTTGGTATAACAGTCAGGGGTGTTCCCACTACACCCTAGATTCAGTAGCTGATTTTCTGCCATTAGGAGAACTGGTTTTCATTCTCTGTCCCAGCAAAATTATGAAGCTAGGTTGGGCTGAGCAGCCAGCAGTACCAAAGTGGTGTCTTTTCTCTTGAAAAAGTGAAACCTGTTCAATGTGCACTGCCCATCTCTTCTCCCACAACGCTCCTGGTGGAGATGGTCACAGCTTTCTCTCAAGCTGATAGGAGAAGCCATTTGCTCCTTAAGGCAGGAGCACTGTCTTCCTGCGTCGCATACTGTTCAGTGTTAGTCATTGCACTGTCTTGGCAGCATTCTGGTTGATTGTGCATTGCTGTCATATTTTTTCTCTGCTTGCAGGTGGCAGAGTTGTTCACTGATAACTTTGATTATCAGACTCGGGATGACTTTGTGCGTGGCCTGCTGGTGAATGAGGAGGTGAGAAGGAGACAATCTACTTTTGCTTGACCTCACAGAAGCTAACGGCTTCTCAAGTGACTTCTTGGTAGCTGGGGCCCTTTTTCATGTGCTGTGTTTGTGTGAAGGGTTTCCATGCAGGCTATAACCTGGCATGTGTTCTAGCCTGTCCTGAAGGAGTGGTGGACAATTTTCTCCTTCGCTAGCACCTACAATTCCTGATTCACAGTAGCACCTGCTTTTCTCCTGGCCCAGCTTCTGTGCAGAAGGATAGGCGGTACAAAAAATTGTCTTTTTCATCTAGAAAATCTGATGTGACCGTAACCGCAGTTCACCTATAATAGAACAATACGTTGGATTTTCCTGTTTAAGGCGAGGACTGTCATGAGACTGTCAGCACTTGGCATAACAGGGCTGTGACCATGTTTGGGCTTTTTAGGCTATGATAATACAAGTTGTAAATAGCAGAACTTGATTGCAAAGGCCCTTTCCCTTTCTAACTGTACAGCTGGATTTCTGCAGTGGGAAGGAATGTCAATGCTGGTTAGAGCACACAGTGTCACATCAGCAGGGATATGCTAGCTGTCTCTACAGACCTCTGCTGATGCTTCTCTGTCTTGAGTGGGAACCTCATCCTAGGAGCATTTCAGTTCTGGACCATCCACATAGCTTTGTGAATCTCTCTTGACATAAGCAGAAGTAATGCTTTTTGTTCCAGCCCTTGCTAGCCAATAAGCAAGCAACCCTGTATAAGTGATATGCCTTCTGAAAGCCTTCAGGATGATAACAAGTCTGCCTTATAACACACTTGGGAGCCTGGAGTTCAGGAACATTTGGGATGAAAACTAGATCACCAGAGCCTTGTAGTTTAGCATGGATAATGCCCTAGATGTCCTTGGAGATTATTAGTGGGGAGTGTGAGGCACCTGATAGAGGGCCTGAACTGCATGGGAGCAAAAACAGTAGGAAGAAGAGTGGCTTGTAGAGGGAATGGGTGTGTGGCAGGTGACTAGGAATAGATCTCTGTACAAGAAGTAGAATTCTTTGCAAATAGCCTAGCCCCCTTCCATTCTTCTATCTGTTTCCCAGGTCTTGGGGAACCAGATCCACATGCATGTGACCACCGAGGAGTATGGTGCCCATATATGCAACCTGCAGATGTATGAAGCTGTGTGTTCTGATATCATCCGGCGCTGGGTTTATCCTCTGACTCCAGAGATAAACTTCACCGATGACCCAGCGCAGAGCTACACCCATTCCAAGCACAACATCTATCGTGGGCGGGATGTGAGCCTGGGTCATGACAGTGTGCTGGATGAGAACGTCCTCATTGGTTGGGGAACGATCATTGGCAGCAACTGCTCTATTACCAACAGTGTTATTGGTCAGAACTGCAAGATAGGTGAGCGCCAGAGATGGGAGGTGTGGGGGTGAGCACACAGGCAAATTGAGGCTGCCATTGAGATTCAAGGGAATTCAGCTGTGCTGATCGGTGCCAGATTGGCATTCATGGGAGGAGAGGGAGTGGGGAGACTCCGTTCTCTGGGTGGAGAGAATGGGTCCAGGCCTTGCATGTTGGGGATCCAACTAATACCAGAATGCCAGGTGAAACAAGCTGTGTGAGAGGAAAGGCACTTCTTGCTTGGGGAGAAGGAAGCAGCTTTAGGTGCCGAGGGGCTGTTTGTATAACGTCTCCTTAACTGATCTGCCTCGTTCAGATCGGTGCCCTGGGGGTGGACAATCTCCACATCCCGATCTCACGCCCACAAGGCTCCTGGCATCCTTGCTTCACAATTTTGAATAAAGCTTCATTGTTCTCACTTTACCCACAAGTGGGAGGCTTGTTAGTGCTGCAGTCTAGCTGGATTGACAGACCGCCCATTCATTTTCCTTCTGCTTGCCCTGGTCGAGAGAGGACTGGAGCCTTGCAACTGGCTCAGCCAGCACATCTGCTCTCTATTGTGCCCAAGAGCACCCTTTAGTTCTAGAGCAAATGGTCTGGATTCTCTCCAATGCATTCAGCATTGTCACAGTGCTGAAATACAGGCTGGGAGCTGGGATCTCCCTTGATCTTCATTTCTGTGCTTGCGGGTGACAGGTGACAGAGTTATCCTGGATGGAGCACTGATCTGGAACGGGGTCAACGTAGCGAATGATGCGGAGATCCGGGAGTCCCTTGTCTGTGATGAAGCTGAGGTGAAGGAGAGTGTTAAGTTAAAGCCTCGCTGCGTCCTCACTTCCCAGGTGAGCTGCTTTCATGTTTGCAGAGCTCCATCTGCTCACGCTCAGACAATGGCTGGACCAGGGCAACTTGGAATGGGCCTGGGTCGAATAGACCAGTCCAGCGCCCAGAATGAGGGCTGCTCCAGGTCTTCCTCTGGTTGGGCTGTGGATTAATTCTCCTACCCTGTCCCCTGTGTAAGGAGTGTGGCTCATTTGGTGCCTAGACACCACTGCTAGTTCCAGAGGAGCTTCAGGGGTAAGCAGTGTTGAGGTAACTGCTGCCTATTGAAGGAGATGGGGATAACAACAGAGGGAGCTGTGCTGTTGTGCCTCTCATAAGTGTGTAACCTTTTCACTTGCAGGTGGTGGTGGGTCCTGACATCACCCTCCCGGAGGGCACAGTGATCTCACTGCACCCCCCAGATGAGGAGGAGGAGGATGATGATGAGTTCAGTGATGATTCTGGGGTGAACAAGGAGGAAATCAAAGTGAAGCTAAAAGGTTTGTGTTTCCTATGGACTCTCGGGGCTTGTCGTGTGTGGAATTTTTGCCCTCTGTGGCCCAGCCCATGTTCTGAGCTCTCTCAAACCCCAGGGTGGCAGAAAGTCCTATGCTAAGCTTTGTATATAGTATTAGCGGAGTGACTGCAGCTCCCTGCAGCCTTTTCCTTGGGGATAATGTGATATTACTGTCCTGCCCAGCACTCAGCTTCTTAGTTCTGGCATGAAGCACTGGGGACTCTAGTGTTGTGCTTTCACCCTAGGATATGAGACCATGCTAAAACTCAGATGACTGACTAATGCTTAACCAGTGATTCAGTTCAGGATAGAGGCTGATACCTGGTCTTCCTTCTTCCTCTACATTTCAGGGAGCACCTGAACCGTATCCCTCTTGGCCCATGGGATATTGACTCTTATCGGCCCCCCTTTGCTTAGGGTTCTAAACATGGATCAGGGTAGGTAAAGCCAGTTGGACTGTACTGCTTGTAGGCCAAGATGAAAGGATAGCTTGCTTGTCTCCCCACATGCCTGGGCCAAAGAGCTACAGCCCTTGCATGTCAACGGGCGACCCAGACCCTGCTGAGTCTATCACCTATACTGCAGACCCTTCAGCCCTGCCCTCACTCCCCCACGAGAGGGCAGTCCGTATCAGGTCTCCTGGCTGTCCCTGTATGTTCCCCTCTAAACACTGTCATCTCTTTTCAGGCTACAACAAGCTGGTGGTTGGGTCAGAAGGCAGAGGATATCTCTGGAGAGCGGACAATGAGAACGAAGTGGATGAGGAAGAGCAGAGACAGAGCCTGTGGGGTGAGGAAAGCTTAATATAGGCACCTGGGAATAGAGAGACTCATACAAGCATGTGCTCCTTCAGTGGGAGAGCTGCTGAGGGGGCATTAATAATGTCTGTATGCAAGATGATAAAACCTGGTGTGCTCAGCTAAACTAAGGATGGCTTCCTGAGGAAGGGGATGCAAACTCCATGATTGAAAGCTGGGCTAGACTATACCCAGGAGGAGAGGTGAAGGCCAGGGGAATGCTCTTGGGTTAGGCCAGTGGTTCTTAACCAGGGTGCTGTGAGATCTCTTGAAGGGTGCCACACAACATTATCACCATTAGGTTTGCAAGCACCTATACCTGAGTCACAAGATCAACCCAGAGAGTTTCAAGAGGAATGCAGAGCATCCAAGCCATCCTGCTCTGCCGTGGTCTTTCCAAGTTCTTTGCCACAGAAAAATTGCTTTCGTATTTTCTTTATATATATATATAGCCAAGAAATGAGTGAAAGTGAAGAGCAGGCATTTTCTGGGGAGGCCTGGAGTCTAAGAGGGTTGGGAACCTCTGGGTTAGACTATTGACTCATGCTGAAATGAGGAGATTCTTACTTTTGCCTGGAGCACTTGGTCCAAGTGGTCTTCGGACTCTGGTAGATGTTACTTCTTTGACGATGCTTTGGTTTAACAAGTTTATCTGCAGCCATAAAAGGCTAGAAGCACTTTATTCAAAGGGGAAGGCTGAGATCCTGGAGCACGATTCTCAACTGTGGATGGATCCCGTGGCAAATTCTCTGACTGCCCAAGTGGTGTAGTCCGTGGGGTCCTGACTATAGTTATGGTGTTGTGCGGCACAAAGCTGCCTTCTGAGCATTTAGGGACCAGAATCACTCCTCTTATGCTCTCCAAATGATGGTTTCAGCTCTTACTGTTCCTGCACAGGCTTGTTGTATCAAAATAACAGACTTCCAAGCTTGTGTCTGAGCTGGTAGGGAGGAAGCCTGTTAAGTTTCCAGTACTGTTGCCTGTCACTGAGGTTTGCCTGTTGTCCCTTTGGGGTGTGTACTTTGATTGTCCTTTTCCCTAGAAAAACTCAGCTCAGGCTATATCTGTCCTGCCAGACTTCCAGCTCAAGTGATTGAGTTGTTGCTCGTTGACTGAGAGTGAGCAGTTTGATTGAGATGCTTTCTCTGTAACCCTGGCCACATGCTGCCTTCTCTGATGCTTACAGAAGCACAATTCCCTTGGCATCAGGCTCCACTTTCCCATTTAGGTTGTGACTGACTGGGCCTAGAAGTAGAAAATCCCCTAGGCAGATAACTCAGTGCTGTCTGTGGGAGGGCGGCACTGCGGTACCCCTGTTCCCCCACCAGTTGAGTGACTACCGCTCCCTTACTCCCAGGGCTGCCTCTTAAAGGTGACTTTTTTTTTTCTGTCTTCCTCAGGCCCGCACTTGAATTTGGGGGAAGAGAGTGAGACAGACAGTGATATAAGCTTGGGCTCCGAGCAGCTGGACAGTCGGTCTGCTTCCCCTCAGCTGGATGACATCAAATGTAAGAGACCTAAGACTGGGGTGGGGGAGAGACCCTGAGCCTGTAACCACTGGAGTGAGCCTTACGCTGATGAGGGTGCTTCAAAACATCTTGTGTTGCATTGTCTCATGCTTCCTGACCAGCGTTTCTCATGTGCTTTATTTTTCATGGGTCTTTGATGTTCCTTAGGCTGTGGAACAGAGAATGGTAGAAGCCCCTTGTCCACGTCCATTTAACACAGATTTGGGCATAGCCCTGGGAGAATACAGAGATGTCAGGGGGGGCAGTCCTGCACTGGTTCCCAGGGGAGGCTGAGGGGATTGGTGGACTCTACCTGTATCTTCTTTTCCATGCATGGTGCACAGGTATTGTGAATATGCATTGGGTTACACATGGCAAATGCCAGCCCTCTAGTTGCCTTATCCATGCACCTGGCAAGGGGGTGGTGTTCTCTGTCATGGGAGGAGTTGGGTGCTGGGCTTCCACGTCTCCTCTAATGGCCTGTCCTTGTTTGGTTCCAGTGTTCCAGAATGAAGTTTTGGGCACCCTGCAGAGGGGCAAGGAAGAGAACATTTCCTGTGACAACCTGGTCCTGGAAATAAACTCTCTGAAGTAAGTGCCTCCCTTTGAACTGCAATTCCCATGTGTTACATCTAATAAGCCTGACACATGGGGCTTTGGAAAAAAAGAAAAAGGCAAACAATGTCAGTAACCATGGGCATGGCAGTCTAGGAGAATAACTGACCAGTGACGTAAGCTGATGCAATGTGTACCCAGCTCTGCAACCACTGTACCATTAAAGTGTCCTGAGTCCCAAGGCAAGGGATTAAATAGCTCTTGGATATCTGTAGGCAATGCCTGTGTTAATTTAAGCAAGGAGCTACCACTCTTACAGTACAGTATTTAATCAACAAGTCCAGAGCCAAGACTTCCACATTTGATGTGGCATTTCTACTCTGCTTACATAGCAGTCAAATAGGCAAGAGTTAAAGAATGGGATCTAATAGTGTCTTTTACCCACCGCTTCCTACATATGAGTCTGTTTCCTTTCTTCCCTCAGGACACCATAGATTCACAGATGCTAGGGTCAGAAGGGACCTCAATAGATCATCGAGTCCGACTCCCTTCACAGGCAGGGAAGAGGGCTGGGTTCAGATGACCCCAGCTAGATGCTTGTCTAACCTCCTCTTGAAAGTGAGCTTGGTGTCCCTGGCAAAGCAGCACATTACACTCTGAAGCCAGGTCTTTAGGAGTGGGGCGTTTAATGAGACCCATTGCAATTTGAGCATACTTCTGACTGCGTGATTGGGTTTAGAAAGGACTTGGGGCCAAGACAGGGAAGTTTAAAATTCAGCTTTGCTCTTAGAAGAGTGCACTCTGCATTAGAGGGAGAGACTTCAGACAGCAGCCAGGCAAAGACTTGCTGTGGTTGGAATATTGTGCCAGAGGCCGCAGGCTTATGGTCCCTTTTTGATGTCCCCTCTTCCTTACAGATATGCCTATAACATCAGCCTAAAGGAGGTGATGCAGGTGCTCAGTAAGGTGGTCTTGGAGTTCCCACTGCAGCAGCTGGACGGAGAACTGGATCCTCAACACTATTGCGTGTCATTACTTCCTGTGAGTGCACCTCCTCCCTTCTGTGGTTCTCCATCTGTTTCCCATTATTGTGCAGCATACGTGGGATTTTAAAAAGAGAAGGCCCCATTCCCTGCTGCCAACTTACATTTGACAAGTTGTAGGAACAAGAGCGGGGTGCTCCCTTCCCCTTGTGCTGCATGCCATACAAGAATCTTGAAGAGGCGTGGGGGTAGATTATTGCTTGGAAATAACTTGGTTTTTGTTGGACACTCACTTCTACTTGACACTTATTACATTGGCTTCGGAGAATGGGGGAGTTTGTGGCTTGTAGATGCATGGAAAACTTCCTTGGTGTGTAGAGCAACATGGCTAACACTTCCGTAAGTGGATGCCATAGTGCAGCTTAGTTCAGCCTCTTGTTAGGAACATGCAGTAGTTAAACACTTTGGTTCATGCTCATTTGCTCTTCCTCACGAGGCTCAATTGTCCAGGTTGGAGAACCTCCTGTTCTGTTTACCAGTGTTCTTTATGAGGCTCAGGCAAAAATATACTCCAGTGAGAAAATGAATTGGGATGAATGCTAGAGCAGACTTCAGACTGTAAGCATTCGCGTAAAGCAATGTAACAGAGAATTGACTATCTGGAAGGTGCTGCTACAGGGGAGCTGAGTTGGAATAAGAGGCAGCTCCCCTCTTTTCTGGATCTTGCAGTGAATATTTGGCATGCGGGAAACATTGAAACAGGGTTACTGCAGAGAAGTAGGTTGCATTGGGGAGGAGCTGAGTCCATGGCTTTAGCTCCTTTTGGAATAAAGAAATATAGTAAAAAAACAAAAAAAACAAAACAAGCTGCCCCTGGAGCAAGGTGGCTCCCCGTGATGCCAGTCTCAGTTCAGGGCTGTGTTGTACTAGATGCTGGACAAGCGCATGCAGCATTCTTAGCCAGAAAATGAGTGAAAGGTAAGATGTGTGGAGGGGGCATGTTTTGTGTATAACTTTTTTTCACCATGGCCATATTGGCAGGAACATTTTCAGTGTAAGCAGCAAATCTACTCTCTACCCTCTTGCACGATGAAAATTAGGCGAAAGGGACTAATTTTCTGGGTATACTGATGATGTGGTGAGACGAGTGGAATTTTGCAAGGCAGGTACAGATGTGTTTTGCATGTATTCATATTGGCATATACCCTTTCCAAATGTATTGAATACGGACATTACTTGTACTGTCGCAAACAGGTTTGCTGTGGTCATGTGCAGAAACAATTTTCCAGCAGGGTCACCAGCTTCTCCAAGTCTTCCCTTGAAAAGAGTAGCCCATGTGTGTGCATCTCAGGAACAGTGTTATGTATTCAAGTCCTTCCCACGTGCAGAAATGTTAGTGTAGCATTTCCCAAACTGGAAATTGAGACTTCCAGGGGAGGGAGGAGGTGTGTTATGGGTGGTCAGCATTACACTTAAAATGAGACGGTGTATCAAGCAACCTTGTAAAGACGAATGCCCTGTACTGCAACAGTGCTGAGGACCCCAGTCAAGGACCCAGATCCCATTACGCTAGACACAGAAAGTCCTTGCCCTAAGGAGCTTGCAGTCTGGGTATAGGACAAGAGATAGCAGATGGACAGAGATGCCTGGAGAAGGCCAAGGAAACAGGCAGCGACTCGGAGGAATACCTGCCTATGCATTGTCTGGGATGTGTTCCTTCAGAGTTACCACGTTGTGATCAGAGAACCCTTCACTACCAGTAGCTTCATGCAGGCCAGACAATTTGTGTGTGGATAGCACAGTGCTAGAACCTTTGCTGGTACCGGAATTAGGTTAGGACAGCCTTGTGCAAGAAAATCCAAGCCCTATTAAAACAGTTTTTGGTCGAAGTGAAGGCACTTACGGCCAGGAGGTGGCCAAACTTCACGCAGCCATGTCACATGCTTTGTTTGGTCTGTGAGGTCTTAGAGATGGTGGAGAAAGAGGGATTGGTTGTGAAAGGGTGGATAGCAGCACTCTTCCAAAGACAGCCCAGAAGGGGAAAATTGTGGAAATACCATAGTCATGATGTACAGTTTGACTTGAAACCACAGTGTTCTGAAGCAGTGGCTTCCACAAGCATAAAGCCCTCAAAGTTATGACATTTTGAAACCAAATACCCATAAGTAAGGCATATGGTCAGGGCTGTTTCTCAGAGGAAACACAGAGCCTTGAGAAATCAGCAGGGCTGGGTAACTTGAACTGGCAGTGTTGCCATAAGCACCCATCAGGCATCTTGTTTGGTGTCTTTGTGAATCATACTGGAGTCTATAATATAAAAAAGTTGCAGGAAAACTCCTACTTCCCTGAGCTTCTGACATCTGGCTTCTGTTATAAGGCCTGATGTTTCGGACAGATTGAAGATCATTTTTGTCACATAACCTGGTGTTGTGGATGAGGATGGCAGACTTGGAGAGTGGCTTTTTGAGAGTCTGGTATGATGGGGTAGCTGTCTGTTGTCTGGGGTCTAGCACTTGAGGCACGTCTCCAGTTCTGTGAAGGAGACATTCTCTTTCACAACTCTGTACAGGGGAAAGTGGCAGCTGAAGTCTTATTCAGGGATTGGTTGGTGATCCTCACTTTCAGTGGAAGGAGCTAAGTTGTCAGCATGGATGATGCCAAGTTGATTGCTGATTGAAGTCACATCTCAGTCGCACTTGTGCAAAACAATATGCCTAAAGCGTGGTCATGAACCTCCTCAACCTTGACTCAGCTCGAGTCTGGGTGAAATTCAGATCCAGCTGCAGGGACTGGGTTTTGGAACACAGGAAGAGCTGGAACAAACCCACGTGTTCAGGGTGCAGTGGATGAAGCAGTGGTGCCTGGACCCAGTGTAAGAGGAACTGATGGAAATCTCCCATGACAGGAACTTGCAGTGGACTTTTTTCTAGCCAGGTTTTCTGCAAGGTAGTGTTTCTCTTTAGGGATCTCACCCAGTTTTGGTCGCAGAAGTCTTGAACATTCCTGTTTTGCCTTTGCGTCTGTGCAAACCCAAAGTATTGCAATCCCTCAGAATGGCTGAAGAGCATATTTTCCCACATTCAGACTCGCATGGAAAAATCTTTTGTCCTCCAGAACAGTTTCACTCATGACATGGAAGCTGCTTAATAATTGCTGCAGTGCATTTAAGGGGGGAAGATCCCATAGAAGGGTAAAATGCAATGACTCGTTGCTGGAGATGGGGGAAGTGTGTTGGCATTAAACAGGTGGCCCAGGGGTTAAAATAGCTCCTGAAACACTCCAGCTTACAGCTCTCCACTGTTGTTTGCAATGCCACAGGGTTGGGACCTTTGTGCCCTATTCTTGTTGATGTGCTATGAGTCAGTCATTGGTAAATATGTAAAATCCTCCTGTTTTGAACTTGCATTCTTGTCCCTCATTCCCGCACTGGATGCTTGAAACCACAGAGATCCAGCACATGCCCAAGATGGGAAAGGATTATAAAGAGGAGATGGAGTGTGGCACCCTTGGGAGCCATTTGTGATGCTGTCTGGCACTGGTGTGGGGCACTGTTCTTAGCCCTGGCTGTCTTGGAAGGTACTTCAGGTTTCTGTGCATGGCACTGAGGACCTCAGAGCTCTCCACCTGGCAAAGCTGCTACCTCTCAATGGTAGTGTTGGCTGAGAGAGGACATGGAGGAGAAAGGGCTTGCCCTGAAACTCCAGAGAGGTCCCTTTTTCTATTGTCTGGGCTCCTCTGTCCTCTCAGCAGACAGATGTGTTCATTCCCAGAGGCAGCTGCTATCCCAGGGCTGCAGCAGGGCAGAGTGAGAACAGCTGGGTAGGTGCACACGGAGGAGGTTGAGATGCTATAAATATTTAGCCACTGCTTTGCTTCTTGTCAAAGTAACCCATTTAAGCAGAAAGAAAGCTCGCTGACATGGCCGTCTGCTGTGTTAGAGAGCTACTCACCCTCGATCCTTGTGAGGCTAAGCAGAAGGCTTTGTGTCGAGTTCTTTTCTGGCTGGGCACTTTGAAAGCTCTCGGAAACCTTGATCAGAGCACGCGCTTTCCGCGCTACCTGGAGCCATCCCTTCCCAGATGCCCAGCGGTCAGCAAGCTGCTTTGTGCTGTCTCCTCATCTTGGCAGTGTACCAGCGAGAGCAGCTGGGGATTCCACCAGAAGCACAGTGCTTGAAGAGTCAGCCCCGAATCCTTAAACTAAAGGTTTAATTAAATATAAGCCTTGGAGGGAGAAACTGAGATCAGCTAGTAACATGGCAGCTTCCTGTCTGTTATGTCTCCTCCTCCTTCCTCTTGGCAGACCCACTATCCTTGCAGGCACTCAAACACATGAAGACTGAGTCTCTGGATACTTTTGCTGCTGTGTTTTTGGTCTAAAGGGAGGCCATCCTGCCATGTTGCTTTTGGCTCAGCTGGGATTTATACCCTGCACAGTCTTCCCTTTAACATTTAGTTCTATTAAGAATAATTGTTGCTTTTGCTGCTTTCCAGCAGAACCTCCTTTTTGATACCAGCTGCTGTTGTCGACTCAATGTGTCTCATTGACCTACCGCTGTCTCTTATAAAATGGCATCCTTTGGGCTGCCTGGCTCCATTAATCTCCTTTATTATAACACTGAAACGCATCACTGACATAGCTGCCAGGTTACGCACACACAAACAGGGACAGAAGTTGATGCATCTGGGGACACCTAGTAGTTCTGTATCCTGTCTGTACAGCTGTCCCCTTAGCCCTATTCAGGTCTTGGGCAGGAGACTCAAGTGGTCTGGCTGTTATGCAGTTGGCTTCCAAAAATGTTCTCCTCCAGGTCAACTTCTTTTATAAGGTCTCTGTCCCCACTAGGCTCAAGGTATGTTGGTACTGAAAAGTCTTGTAATCCAGGAACCCTTCTTTCCTCCTGCAGCTGTTGAAGAGCTGGACCCCTTTGTTTAAGAACTACATTAAGCGGGCGTCAGATCACTTGGATGCCTTATCTGCCATTGAGGAGTTCTTCTTGGAACATGATGGCCTCTGCACCTCAATGGCTAAAGTAAGTTTCCCCTTCCCAGCTGGGAGGACTGGTGTTTCCACCAGCTCTGTGACCAACTGTGGCTTTGTTGGGTTTATCAGCTTGTCTTCCATCAGGAAGGGGAGTTCTTTGTTTCTGTTGGGAGGGGTATGTGGAAGAATATCTGAGCATAGCTGGAGACCAGTACTGGCTAACAACATGCTACCCGGAGCTACTATCTGGCAGTGTCTGACTCACTGGAGGTGCTACAGAATGGGCAGGAGGGTTTACAGATAAAGATTTGCTTCATTGAAGCATCAAGCCCATTTCCCCCCCAAATTTGGAGATTCCAGGAAGTTTTTAGCTGTCACATGAGATTTGCCCTACTTCAAGATGCAAAATGAGCAGACAGATAGAGCGGGACCCCTTGTGCAGGCCGAACCTGGTGTAATCTAGGGATAAAGTATGTGGCTGGTAGGCCTCTCCACAGTTTCAGCCTGGGAGAGAATTAAACATGCACCTCTCCCCTCGCCCACCCCTTCAATTACCGGATTATTTCTGCTGTATGACTTTTAAACTTCCCCCTCCCAGTCCAAAATCATTTGACAAATGATTTCTTTGCAAGGCCCTGTCTCTCTTGCAGCTCTTCTGTGAGCTTGCCTGCACTTCAGTTCCTCAGTAAGGAGGAATCTTAACCCCTGCCATGACACAAGAACTAAGCATGGACTAAAGCCAAAAGACTTCAGCTCAGTAAGCCAAAATGTCTTTGAATTACAGTGATTGTCTGGCACACATCCATTGTTCTAGGGGCCTAGGTTTCCCCTGTGGCCAGGAGTTGAAGTGACACTTTATTATCGGAGCTGGCATACACAGCCAAAATATTCTGCCGTGAGGGGACTCATTGCAAAGTGTCTTATCAACTTGAGCATAAAGTGGTGATGAAGTACCAGAAAGCAAGTGTGCATTTGCCTGGACACCTCCTTGCTGCATCAGGCAGTAGCTTAATTCTACAAATGATCAATTGCATTTGACACCCACCAGAAGGCAGCTTTTAGAAAAGACTGTACAGGGATGAGTTGCAGATGTGGCTGCTACAGATAGGGCTAGGTGAACCACATTGGCAATTTTCCCTGCTGCCACTGCTGCAAAAATTGTATACATCTGGCTCTGCAAACATGAGAGGTCCCTGTAAGATCCATTTCAGTGCTGATTGTCAGTGCACTTAAAAGAAGGGA